CAAGGCTGTGGTGAGGAGCCTATTAGGCACAATGGTCAGTCATCATGCATTTTCTTCATAGCATGTATTAAACATGAAGTTATGTTATTTATTTCCTAATTTCTCTCTCCATGAAGCAGCAACCAGGTGGTCATTGCTAGAAACTAGGCCTGAAAACATTGTCTGGTGCATAGTAGGTGTACATAAACCAAAACAAATTCAGTGCCATTGAGTCATTTCTGACTCATAAAGACCCGCCCCCCCCCCTCCAATTGGGTTTCCGAGGCTGTAAATCTTTGTGGAAGTAGATCGCCTAGTCTTCCTTCAGCGGAGTAGCTGGTGGGTTTGAGCCACTGACCTTCCAGTTAGCAGTCAAGTGCCTTATCCACTACACTACCAGAGCTCCTCAGGCGTACACAGTAGTAGTTTATATTTGCTGAACAACAGACAACATCTTCTTAGACTGTTCAAACCAACAAAAAGAGTGACAGAGAAGAGCAGGGTGGCGGTATACTCTTGTTTTGTCTCTGGGCTTCCTACACATATGACACTACAGTGCAGTGATGACATCACATTTGTGTCATCACATCTGCCTGACTGGACGGAGTAAGATAAAGGCAAGGACTAGCAGCGACGAGGGCATAATGGAGGAAGGGTGGGCTGGAACTAGATAGAACAAGGCCAGAATCCTACTTAATGTCTGTGTCCCTCCATTTTCCCATCACTAGAATGCAAATAAAAATGTTTACTTCTGAGGGGATCTTGTGAAAACTGAGTAACATAATGAGCCTAGCAAATGTCTTTCTCCAATCCAGCATGCAGACTACAAGCAATCAGATATGTCATTTTTTGAAAGAATATGCCAAGAATAAAACAGAAACTTTGATGCAGTGCTATTGTTTTTACTATTACACATCATAATGCCCTCCTCCCGCCCCCACCCCATTCCACCTCATGTTGCTAGCAGTAGTAATTAGAAAGGATTCACAGGCACCACACAGGGAATGTAAACATCACTGAAATTGTACACATAAAAATAGTTAGGTGAAATGGCAAATCTCATACATATAACCAGTTGCTATTGAGTAAACTCTGATGCATGGTGATGCCGTGTAAGTCAGAGTAGAAGTGTGCTCCTTGGGGTTTTCAATGGTTGATTCTTTAGTAGTTCACCAGGCTTTCCTACTGAGGAGTGGATTCAAATCGCCAGTCTTTCAGTCTTTAGCAGCTAAGTGTACTAACCATGTGCACCACCCAGGGACTCCTTTGTTATATTGTCATCCCTGGGTATCTGAGGGGGATTGGTTTCAGAACTCCTGCAGATACCTAAATCCTTGGATGTTCAAGTCCCTTATATAAAATGGTGTGATATTTACATACAACCTACACACATCCTCCCATACACTGTATTTTATTTTTATTGTGATTTGGGTGAAAATTTATAAAGCAAATTCACTTTCCATACAGCAGTTCACATACACTTTGTCTCATGACATTGACTACAAGTTACCCCCATGCAACAGCTCCCCTCCCACTTCCTCCCCATAGTTACCTCTTCCCTGTGTCCATCCCTCCATGCACACCTGCCTTCTGAGCTGTCTCCCTGTGCATAAGCAGCCCTTCTTTCTCCCATGATTGTTCTCTCCAAGGAGTGTATCTAAGTCAGGTAAATGCTCAACTCATATGCCTGTCTTTTGTTTGGCTGGAAGCCACAGGTGTGGGTTCAATTCCAGACCTGAAGGGCAGCTAGGGGCCATAGTCTCAGTGGTTCC